GTTTCCAGATGGTTTCATACCTTACTATTTTTCTTACGATGCTTAGGCGTAGATTGTACACCTGGCTCTTCTTGCTGTTCAACTTCAGACTCTAATTCTTCTATAATTAAAACAGTCAAACCTTATAAAGACATAAACCTTGTTTTTATAGCGACAACAAAGTTTATTGTGGAAGTTAACCTTGCATTTGTTTTCATTTATGTAAATAATATTTTAGTTAAAATTTATTATTCTCTCTGACAGCATTCCTTGACATGACCATATATCAAATACCTTGCTGCATGACGTAATTTGAAGGGAAGTATCCTTGACTACCATCAGCAAGCTCTCCCATCCACCAGTTTTCATTGTCATGGTAGAGCACAGTTATAACATCCCCTGGTCTTATTGTGATCTCGTCAGCTCTGTTTGCATCATATGGGTACATAGCAACAACCTGTAACATTTTCAAATGTTGGATGAAATTAGTTATAAACTGCAGAATATAAATGGTGGACCAATTTGAATAACAAATGATATTTTGGATGAAATTAGTTATACAGCCTTTTGCAAAAATTATGAGAATTGTCGAAATATCTAAATATCATAATATCGAATGCATGATGGGTAGTCCCTTGTCTTTGTAGTTTAGGGTTTTTTTGGCGACAGACTTATCCGTAGTTCTGAACATTTTCTCGATGTCAACAATGAATTATTCTAGCAAACCTGCGTGTTCCGGACAATATATGGATATGGATATTATGATATTTAGATATTTAGACAATTCTCATAATTTTTGCAAAAGGCTGTAAACTGCAGAATATAAATGGTGGACCAATTTGAATAACAAATGATATTTTGTACTCTGAATAAACATGAGTCTAATCTTGCAAACATTTTTTGATTTAGTATATAGTTGAATAAATACATGTTTATACTCTATCAAAACTCTTTCCAAGCTTCAATGTGATGTTATTGAAATTTTGAAATTTGACTTAATTTTAGTAKAATATTATGACTTTTTGAAGTCCAGAGGGTCTATAAGCATGGTATTTGTTTTCACTAACATACCCTTTTYCTAGGTTGCTCTRGGTGTTCATGTATTGTTGAGCCTGCTGTAAAACTGAATGTTGGTTTTTGCTGCAGATGYGACATGTGCTGTAAAATAAGATAAAATGCATAAAGAACAAGACCAAAGCCAAAAGTAAGTTCAATCTTTATATTGTTAACCATTAAATCACTAATGAAACGTTGTAATATCATATTTAATTGGAATCTTGGTTGGTAATATTTGGATTATATTTGCTGCAAATTTAAGGAGAAATTAAAGACTAAACATTTAACATGTTGGCACATAAAGCTTTATAATATAAACTACACATCAGACGTTATATTGAACATTACAGGTAAACAGAATTCTGATTTCTCATGTAATCATTATTGAACTATTCAAGCACGGCATAATACTTTGTAAATAATTGGTAATTATTACCAGAGGGCCAGGCGAGTCTTGTGGAAAGTTCATTGACAAAGATCCTCGTTTTGCAAAAGGATCTCTCCCTAAAAGATCAAAACAACAACACACAAGATAACGTAAATAATAATGATAATAATATAGTAATTATTGTAAAGCTCATGAATAATTAATGAGGAAAACACAATTATAGAAATCACAACCGTGGAGAGTGTTGTCGGTAATATTTGATACAAAACTGTCTTAATTTGCAWAAACTTCAAATTAATTTTCTCAGCCAAATTCAGTTTTATCTTGAAGTTTTTATTAGATTATGAATGTATACACCTAAATGTTTCACAAGTAATTTACAACATTTGCGTCAGTGTTGTATGGGCTTTACAATCTCTCGCCTTTGGCTCGAGATTGCAAAATCCCATACAACACGGCCGCTCATGTTATAAACATTACTTATTATTAATTATCTAAATATGTGCTCTTTATACACTATCATCCATGCAATAATAGCACTATTACCTAAACATACATTAAGAAAAATTCAGTTTTTGCTTACCAAGTGTATGTCGAAAAAGTGGTGATCCAGGAGAATCTACTACAGGTGCACCAGGAGTTTGAGGAAATTGTTGGAGAGACTGGAACCGACCTGAAGCTCCCAAGTGCTGCTGGGAATGAGGAGAAATGGGATATCCTGATACCTGTTTCAAAGAAGAAAAGTTATTGCTAGCAATAACATCACCAATGAAATAATCATCATCAAATATCAATTCATGCACTAGCCTGTCCAGGAGTGGGATAGCCAGTGGGCGTAAAATCAGATCCCCATGTCGAGAGGGTATCTTGAGGCCCCCTTCTTGATGAAAATGTCTTCATTGCTGAATTGTCTGATATCGCAACTCCGTTAGGAGTTTGAAACATGGTGGAGGTTTGGAAGGGRTGAAGACTTGTCTCGGCTGGTGTTTGTAGAATGGCAGTGTCAAGGATACGAGGTGTGGCACCAGGAGTTTCCTGTAGATCAATGTAAATTAGTCGCAGATAATAATAGGAAATAATTTTTGGATGAATGATTAAAGTTGAATAAACTAAGTTTATGAAATAATAATGAAACGTAAGACTATGCTATTTTTTGATSATCTCAAGCTTTCCTCATTATAGCAACATCATCTGTCCTCATAAAATGTCTTACCAAAACAGAATTTAACTTGTTCTTTACTTTCTGAAGTCTCATGATGTCACTGGTGACTTCACCCAAGGTGAGATGTCGTTTGTCTTCATCAGCTGTCGTCACTGTTCCTGGAGTTGTTACTTCTTTTGTTGGAGTGGATGGTGCAAGCATACGTTTTGCTTCATTCTTGGCAGCTTAAAAGATGAAAATAAAAAAAAAATCATAGATTTAGATGGGGTCAATGGATTTGTATAATGCTAATCTTTATTTATTTAGTTAACTGAAGGACTAATCTACCACTGGATCATCAATACATTGTATAAACACAATTAATTACAATAACTGTTTATTAAATACAATGAACTAGACTGATTATTGAATGACTTTTAGTTGAGGCTGGGTTCACTTGATCAGTATTTTACATATTGATTTATGGTCAGTCATGCAACTCTAGCAATGGTCTGCTAACAGCAGTTTTCTTGAAATTTCAGACTTGAGATTAATTTCATTGATAAAGTCTTTAAACTTAACATACCTTTAGAATCATATTTGTATACTAGGATAGGCTGGCTATTACCAAAAGAACAAAATACAATCATGTGATCCATTGGATGAAAATCAACATCAGATACAGCATTCTCATAATTAAGACTTGTGTAGACAGATACTACATCTCCTTTAAAAAAGTAATGGATG